AGTAACGAACTGTCCAATAAACATTTCATTTAATGAATGATTCTATGATTTGGTACAAGGCATCGACAAGTATTCCAAAATTTCTTGTCATAGAAAAAGATGAAAACGAAAATAAAAGTCGAATATTGAAATAACGAATTTTGGGGGAAAATTGTGACCTCAAAGAATCGCGATTTCGTCGTTTCAGTTATCGATGATCCTGATCAAGGTGGCGGACATTAGCAACGAAGCCCGGCCGATGGAAGTCGCGGAACCGTGGCTGGACAGGCTGCTGCAAGAGTTCTTCAAGCAGAGCGACGCGGAGAAACTCGAAGGACTTCCGGTGACGCCGTTCATGGATCGTGACAAAGTGACGAAACCCTCGTCCCAGGTCAGCTTCATCGGTCTCGTCTTGCTTCCCCTTTTCGAGGCCCTGGGCGAGTTGCTTCCAGAGCTGCAGGTACTTTTATTACCAGCTTCAACGCGCGAAATATTACCCGGCATTTTCATAAAATCCATCTCGATACTTTGGGGAGGCTTTATATATACGCGAGGCTTTTACGAGTTTCGCGCGCGAAACATCAAATGCTCGCCTTAATGTCGAATCCACTCTCAAAACGCGACGTGGAGTAGGTACGAGCGTGCCTCGACCAAATCCACGTCAGGCAATATAATACCAGGAGAAATTTCACGTGCATTTACCAAATCTCTCGTCGCTGTCCGATAGTCCGATATCCGAACATCAACGTCCATCTTCAGTCACAATATGTCGTTCGCAACTCTGTCGCTCAGGTCACTCACACTGACGCGTGCGCACAGGCCCGCCTAATGCAGGCTGATCTACCCTCTGACTAGTTGACTCAAAGACAGGGCTGTCAATCATCCAGCGGCGATAACGACGTGCCTTTATACGTGATCTGTCACCAGAGGCCGATGTTATCCCTGTATCAAGGTTGTACCACGTATGCGTAAATTGTGACGTGATTGGTTTTGAATTAATTGGCGAGAGGATAGGTCTGAATTAACTCGATTCCGCGCAAGGTAGCTTCGATGGTGGCTCGAAAGAGGGGAAAGCTTGGTTCAATTCTCGAGCTTCGTCGGATCTCGAATCGAATCGTTAAGGCCAACGGTACGTGACATGGATGTGCTTCGAACATGTCGTATTAGGAATTTCTGAAACATTTATGCGTAGAACTCGCATAAATGTGTAGACTTGGAATACTCCAAACTAGGCGTCAGAGTCTCAAGTGCGACGAGGTCTTCCGCACTGTAGGGTTGTCACGTCGTAAACACGTGTGTGTACTCCAAGGATTGTACAGGCAACGTTCTTAGAAATGCCACCCCCACCCGAGTTACTCTCATGGGCGGCGATGGGAAATTTTGGAAACTTCCTGATTGGTCTTAACACGTTCTCTGCAATACTCCTCAGAGTCTCTTTGAAAGGGTAAACCAAGAGGACTGATTTTTGAGCATTTCAATCGAGGCAAGAGATCGTCAGACGTCAGTCAATATTCGTCCAAGGGTATCTTACGAACTTATTGTCAGTCGTTAGTACCTTCGTTATTCGGACAAGCCAAGCTTTTCCGAATCCATCCAGGTAGAAGCCTCGTCAGGCTTGTCGCAAGATAAAGACAGTGAAAATCAGGGTGGTCTCCTTTGAACTCCAAGGGAGTACACGATCGACACGACGACCAGTTGTGTGAGTGTCCTCAACGCACAGATCCAGGTCGAGGGAACATTCAAACTTGTAACGAGCGCAAAAACATCCTTGTTCCAGAGCCTGATAGTTCAGCCAGTGCGGGAGGCCTTGGAATACTATCGGAGATTGAACGAAGCGGCGAAGGACGAGCGACACCACCGGAAGAGCGTGGCGGATCTAGGCGAGTCGAACCTGACGAGCGCGGTGTCCGGCGGCACCGGCTCGTCCAGCGTGGTGAAGTCCACCTCGTCGCACAGTATGCGCTCGAAACGTTCGGCGGGCACGGTCCACTCGCGGTCACGTTCCACCGACGACGACATCACGGAGAATCTAACGGGCGAAGACGCGGAGAACCTGGAGAGTTCGGACCCGGAGACGGCGACCGAAGTGGAGGTGAGCGAGAAGACGTTGAAATTCAAGATCTCGACGGAGGGGACGCTGGCTGGGCCGGCAACAGGTAGGAAAAGCTACCCGGGTAGCCGGAAGGGTAGCCGGGAGAAGTCGTCACTGGATTATCATAATCACGACCTGGCCAGGGCTGTCAGGGAGCACGAGCGCGAGAGAAAACGCAGTAAAGGAGAGAGCCTCGGCAGCGATCTGAGCTCGCCGGTGAGCGCGTGGTCCGCCGAGGGAACAACCAGGATCCTCGAGGAGCTGGAGAAGGACGAGACCCAAGCTCTGTTGGACGCGAAGTTGAGCGAACGAAGGATGATGGAGGGTAACGGTAACGTGGTGGTCGAGAGCCAGCAAAGGAACAACTTGAAGAAAACGAGCAGCCTGGCGATCGAGAACGAACAGGAGACGAGGTCTAGTCGGAAAGAGGTTCAGAGGGAGTCGGTGGTTGGGGGGCTGCGATGCTGCTGCGACGACAAGACCGGATCCAACAACCACAAGTCCATATTCTCACGATTGAGGAACTTCACCGATCGACTTAGCATCAGCTTCGACTCGAAGGAGCCACCCGCGCCCAAGCCCACGAAACACGTGACCAAGACGCTGAACAAGAGCAACTCGGTCACCGCGGCCACCACCTCCTCCAGGCACAACAACACCCTGGCAGTTTGCAAGCGTTGCAACCTCGCGAAAGTGACGATGAAGGAGAGCAAGGCGATAGCGACGGTGGTCGAGCTGTCCTCGGTGGACAAGCGCGCGATGACGCTGCCCAAGGTGAGAAAGTCGACGGACTACAAGAACAAGAGCTGGAGGATGGTGTTCGCCAAGGAGAAAAGATCGTCCGCTTCGTTGGAGGCGTTGCCAGGCACGATGTCGGAGAGCTCGTTGGCGAAACACCGGCGGAATTCGTCGAATCCCGAGGGCAAGTCGCACAGTATAAAAGACGCGAAGGATCAAGTTATCGAGTTCGGTGAGATCGACGTGCGTACGAAGCAGCAGAAGCAACAGCAGCAGCAACATCAGCAACAGCAGCCGGAGATCGTCGTGAAGACGGAGCACGGGTCCGGAGAGGTGGTGCAAGAGGACATTGGAAAGATAGAAATCAGAAGAAGCTCGGCAAGCATGGAGGACATCTCGAAGATGGCGAAGCAGGCTGAAAGCGTGATGCTCGGTACGTTGGAGCCAAAGAAAGCGGAGGAGCGTCCTCACGCGGGTAGCTTGGACTCGATGCTGTACAAGGACTCGGCCAAGTCGCGGAAGAAGCCAACGTACGAGGCCTCGCCAACCACCACGTCCAAGAAGCCTTCGTCTGGCCTGTTGTCGCGGTTCAAGTCCGGCATGAGCATCGACAGCACCAGGAGCAACAGCAACAGCGACTCGTTGCACGATCAGAGCACGCAGTCTCCCAGCGGCTGGATCTCCTCGCTGACGGCAAGCTTTCGGCCGAAGAGGCAGGTGCCAGAGACACCGCAGGTCTTGTCGTCGCATCCTCCGCGTTCGCCGAGCCGCGAAGAGATCAAGTGATACGGCCTGGTGATCGAGGACTCTTCCGAGAAACAGTTGTCGGGCCTGCACAGGTGGCTGGCTGAGAATATCTTCTGTTGCAGCGGTTGAAAGCGTACGCCAAGCATGTTTCGCGTCGTGCTCGATTCTCGATACGCGAGTCGAAACGAGGGAAGCCGACGGGATAATTATCGAGAGGCGGGAGGAGACGTCGGAGCCAAAGATCGATTGAGGAAGATCGCTGAAAGTTAAAGAAAGATCGAGGAGACACTTGGAGCACGGAAGCGGAGGAAATCGAGCAATGACGAAGTCTGAGCGTTCGTTGCCTCGACTGTATGAGTAGATTGTATCGCCGGCCATTGTCGGATCACGTCTGCATGTTCGACTGAAAACTGAATTGTTCACGCCTCGACCTCGCGCGCCAGACACGTTCCTCGTAAGAAAATTTCTCGGCTGGTTCTTCCCGTTCGAATCGAATCGCCACGCGATCCGCGACGATCGATCTCGGTCAGCAATTGCGAAACATCGTGACAATATCCGATAGAATCTGCATGCCGCCGGTTCAACGCGTCTTTGAGCACTTTGGATCGTCTGGACACCAAAATTTGGATCGTGGAACGTTGCGTTTCCCACGCGATGGAGTCGAAGAAATTTTGGCTGCGAAGGTTCGGTTCGACATCGGGCGAACGCAGACTCGATCGTGCACTACCCCGAGATACGAGAGTCTTCTCCTCGACGAGCAGGCAGAGAGAATCTTCGGAGATGGCTTGGGACATTGCCAGACGATAAAAGCTGAAAGAGGGAAGAGGCAGATGACGGAAGAAAGTCTCTCGAACGTTGCACGAGGATCAAACGGCGGTTCGAAAAGAAAAAAAAAAAAAAAATGAAAAAAGAAAAAAAATGAAAAAAGAAAAAGAAAAGAAAAATTGAAAATAACAAAATATAACGTCTTATAGATAACGTGCGTGTAGTATGTCGATTAGCTGTTTCCAAATGTAGCCAGAGGATGTGTGAGTGTAATTTACGTTCATATCGAAGCCAAACTGTCGAACAGCTGGCAAATACCAAATATATGTATGTATATGCTCTTAATTATCGATCTCCGTTCCGTGAGGGCAGAATGAATGAAAGAGGGGGAGAGTGTGGCAGAGTGAAAGGGAGGGAGAGAAAGGTAGAAGGAAAAGCCTCGTATGATGGAATTAAATGTCGAGTACAGACGGGTGGGGACGAATTGAAATTAATGGAAATTAACGGGACGACAGAAGGTGAAGATGGATTAAAAGCTGAAGCGAAGAGAGAACGAGATGCCGCAAGTGAGGGAAAGAAACACATTGGACAAAACGGCCTGAAAGATGAAAGAAACTGAGAGAAGCCGCGGTATATAAATAACTATTTTATTTATTGTCCAATTAAAAAAATAGCCTAACGAGTAATCATTAATGTTGTTCGTTATTATACATATATACATAAAAAAATATATATATAAATATATGCAAGACGCAATGTATACAAAGACGTGGAAGAAAAAAACGAAAGAAAGAAAGATATGCAACTCCCATCGAGACGAGAGCACAACGTATATAAATACGCATGAAGAAAAACCGAAAAGACGATCGTATGAAGAAGCAGGTCTATAGTGACACACATACATACACACACACAAAAGTCGAGAGCGTATAGGGAGAGTGGACTGGATCTACAGATAGACACGTGCGTCGTGTTCGATTACGAGTCGAAAAAATTCATCTCTCCATTTCTGAAATAAAAAAAAAAAAAAGAAAGAGCAAAACTAAACGAACAGAATAAAAATAGTGAAAACCTTCCCAGTCGCGAGAAACAAGAAGAAACGAAAGAACAAAGAAAGAGAGAGAGAGAGAACTGATAGAAAATTTCACGTGTCGTGTAGACGTCGCGAGGAAAAGAGACGAAACCGATCAGTTCCAGCTATATCTCGCAGGCGATTCACCGAATTCGCAAAATTATTTTGTCGGTCTGTCAGAAATTTCGACGAATGTCAAATAAACGTTGTTTCCTCTGCTGAGAAGGTGTCTTCCTCTGATTCGAAAGCCGCGAACGATCTGATCACTTGATCCGTTCGAGAATCGTTCGAAAAAAGAAATCGCTAGAATCCATCGATCTAACGACTCTCTTGCGCTTCTTCTACCTGCGATCGATAAACGCTTTGAAACCCTCCCCCCCCCCCCTTTTTGAAAAGCGATCACTCTGCTCGCTGAGTTTTCAATGGATCGACAGAAAGGAACGCACAGCCCTTTGGTTCGTTCGAATCGTTTAGAACGAGAGAAGAAAGAGGCAAAAGAAGAAGAAGAAGAAGAAGAAGAAGAAATAAAGGAAGAAGAGAAAAAAAATCTGCTCGCATAAAGTGGAATACAAGCCTAAGCGTAGAAGAATCCACGCGTTATTCAGTCTCGACACAGAATCAGCTTCTCTGCGTCTGACGGGCGTCTCTCGCTTTTTCATTTTTAGATGTTTATATTTTTATACTCCACCAGCAGCGTGTCTGTACGGCGATGACAAAACCGCATGTATTGTTGAAGTCTAGTCTTACGTTATCGTCTTCACCGCCCGCTCCCCCTCCTCCCTCACCCCCTCCTGCCGCTCTTCCCTGTCCCGCGCCACCCCGCTGAAAGGAGAACGAGTCTCTCTCTTTCTGGGCATCCTTCGATTTTCCACGGGGATCGTGGAACCGGAAGAAACAGCTTGCATACTCGCGCGACCTTGCACATTCCGCGTGCGATGCTTGTTGCGATTTCTTTTTTTTTCTTTTTTTCTCTCCCTCTACCCTCTTCTAAGAGAAGCCGCGAGAAGAGATTCGTTCGACGCGATTTTTAAGAGTCTCGTTTTCGTTTCTAACTGCGCAGTGCTTCGTCTACCCTTTCTCAGACCAAGAAATTCGACCTTGAGCTCCTTTGGTCCTTTGGCCCCAACGCGTTCTTTTTTCTTTTTTTTTTTTTTTTTTTTCATCGAGCCGTTTCGAACCGATCGTTACGCTCTTCGTATCAGTCGATAAATCTCTTCCCGACGGCGTAGCGATCGAGAATCCTTGCACGTCAAGTCCAACTTTCTCGCCTCGTGGCGACCGTGAAAAAAATTGAGTCGCGCACAAATCCTTCCATTTCGTCGGTGGCCAACTCGGCTCGCACAGAACAAGCAGAGACAGCGACGAGCCACGCACCGTCGGAGCGCGCAGCTGTACGTTGTATAGACGCTAGAAATGTAAATTATTAAACTTCCAAGTGATACCGGGCAAAAAAAGTATTTGATCTTTGAACTCCATGGAGCGAGTCCCCCCCCCCCCCCCCCCCCCCCCCCCCCCCCCCCATCTTCTCATCGACGTCCCGTACGTATCGATGTATCCCTCGACGAAACATCTTGCTGACTGTGAAAATCAAATGCTTTTTTCGTTCTATCACTCGCTGATCTGTGCCTGACCTTTGTCAATATTTATTTGTCTCTTCCTAGACTCTTGTCAAATCGATCGACTTTTACGCGTACCATGGATAATACGAGCGCCAATCGATTTCCCTAGAAACGCTCGACGGACCACCCCGTGTCGACAATCGAATACTCCTCCACCGAGTCGTCCGTGTTTCTAATTCTACCAATCTACTCGATTCTTCGAGTCACGGTCGCGGTCAGCTGAGTTACTACCGCGACGACGTCAGCGACAGAAGCGAAACGAGGCTTCTTCGGGGGGAAAAGAAAAAGAAGAAGGAAAAAAAGAAAAAAGAACAGGAGGAGGAGGAGGAACGAAACTCGATGGTCCAACTCGTGTAGAGTTTTCATTCGTCAATTGATCGTTTAATCCGCGACGAGGTAGTCCTCGTGTCACAGTTATTCTTGTCAATTACCGGAGCGTGATCGGTCGTACGTTTTCTCCTGCCGAAAAAAAAGAAGAGTGAGAGAGAGAGGGGGGGAAAAAATGAGAATAGCGTGAGATTTTCGATTAGAAACGGTGTCAACGATCGAAAATCGGGCAGAGCGTGTGATTTTTGCGTTCGGAGGATTTGGTGCCGCTTTTGGAATGTAAATTCCCCCGCCGCGACTGTTAATTAACGAATGATGGATCGATCGTCGCGTCAGATGAACGTTGCGTCGACTCCGCGAAGCCAGACGAATCGTTTCTCGTTTTCATCCTTGTCGCGAGACAAACCTCTCCTCAATTTCTCGGCGAGGCGAATTCGCGAGAGTCACGTGAACGTTGAGACGCGCGAGCTTCGTTTCGCATCGATTTCGAGAGAAAGAGAGAGAGAGAGAGAGGAAACGAAGATAAGAAGCAGAAGGAGGGGCCAAAGTTTAGAAACCTGCTAAACCGTCGAACTTGAAAGAAATTTCGAAAGTATCGTCGTAGTTAAAAGCTACGTAGTTAGTCAGGTAGAAGGGAAATTCCTGAAAGAGAGAGAATTCTTCGAAGCTTTTCTACAGAGAATCTTTTTGTACAAAATTTCTAAAGTCTTCTCCAACTTCCCCTCCCGACCAGATAACGATAGAAATCGTCTGTCAATTGTTTTCCCCGTCGGTCAGGTAGTAATTAACAATCGCACGTCTCGCACTTGCGACAAGCACAAGTAAATTTCTCTCGTGAGAAATTTAATTTCCTCGACGATCCGCGAGAGTCGCGTCGCAACTCACGCAACTCTCGTTGAATTTTCGTCGGTTGATTCACGTTGGACGATTGGAAGAGAAACGAAATTGACGAAGAGCCGATAGTTTTTAACATTGCGTGCGCGCGATCCATGCCCGGCGAAAAGGGAAACCGATCCTTTCAGCGGCGAAAGTGTTAATAAAAGGGCAGGGCAATGTCAATTACCGAAATGCGCCGGCGTAAACGTTCCTTCCGTGAATAATTTCCGTTCTAGGGGATATTAACCGTGAATGTGCTCCCGTAACTTCTCGGAAAGGCCTCTATTATGTACTTCGATCGTTCGATGTTCTCTTCGCTAAAGTCTACATTTCTCCTCGAGAGAGGGAATCATTTCTGTCCTCGAGAGAAGGAGACGGAATGACAGAAAGCTAACGACGCAAGAAAGGAGAGTGTCAATTGCACGCAAAATTCGAGAAGTAGATATCCTCGAGCAGGATATCGTCGAGCCGATGGTGAAAGAGTTTGTACTTGGAGAGCAACAGGCGAGAAACAAGTCGGGAAAAAATCTCATTCGAACAGACGCGAGATATTTTAATATATTAACGCTGGATGAATCAACGTTGCGAGTGATATGTCACACGAGTAATATGTCGGTGTTAATTAACTCGACGAGATCTGCTATCCTGTGGAGTATTCGCGGATCGTATTAGACCCAGGTAGTAACGTTATTTAATAATTAAACCATTCGTTGTCCTTTTACGGGCTGCAAACTGTCATATCCGTGGTTGTGGCTAATGAAACGTCATTTTCGAGAATGAACGTTTCCACAGTTCCGGTTAATTAAACGTGACGTTGAAAAGTCTGCGAAACGTGTGCATCTGTGCAACGCTGTCATTAACGCGAGCATAACGTAGCCACTGAATCAGAAATTTACGTCGAACGAGAGGAAATAGAGTATCACTCCTCTCGTATCCGCGCTTTTTCCCAAACTGTTTCTCGCCTGCTGCTCGAAACTGCGAGTTCACGTGCTTCGATCGTCTTACGAACACGACAGATGAAAACCGAAGCGAAGAGTCGAGAGTTAGGATCGGCCGCAGACGAGTCGACGTGACGACTTGTGACTTTCAAACGCGATTGCGATATCGCGCCGTTTACGCACGACTTTACAATTTCCCTAATTACCGTAGTTTCTTGTAAACGTCGCACCGTTTCTCTCAGTCGAACGGGTATAACGCTCGTCCGAGTATTGACGATAGTAGCGCAGGTCGCCGAGATAGCGAAGGGGATCGAAGAGATTAAACTATTGACTCGAAGCTGTAAGTTAATTTACGAGCGTGCCTCGCGTTCTATTCGGGGCGTGGACGACTCGAGATATGTACACGAAAATGCGAACTGACAAGACGATGGATGAGCGCGAGACTTCGCGTTGAAGTCGTTCGTTATATAGTCGCTTTGGTAGGAATATTTCGTTTCGTCTTCCTAGTGCCATGCAGCGCTGTTCAGATTTCGTGTACACAGTTTACGACGCGCTCAGTTTCGATTGTCTGATATTGAAGCTTCTAATTACTTTCTTTTTAATTAAATCACGCGACCCTGAAATAAATAGACAATTCTCACTTTGTTTGCCTGCATAGATAGTTTTTAACCTACAACAGGTCTTTTACTCTATCTGCTTTTATTTACAGATACTTCTGCATAGTTGCACCAAAGAAGCGTTGTCGCGTTATCAGCTGCACGGCACTAATCAACACGGTTTTTCGACCAGCGACTGTTTAACATCTTCAGGGACGAATTTTTAATTTCAGTTACAGCAATGAAATTTAATTTAATTTCAGTTTATTTTTGGTTATGAGTGAAGGAAATAATGCATGAGAAAAATGAAGTTCACACCTCGGAATTTCAAAGAAATCGCGAATGGAAGTAGTTTTTTTTAAATTAACCACGTTTCAGTGCCGCGGCGTTTGATCGCGATGCTGAGTTAATAGGGCAGACGACGAAAACAGGGAAATTGATGAAATTGTTCACAAGCAGAGAAACAAATCACGTGTAATGAAACGTATTTATCAATGTAGAAACAAAAACAGTGCGACCACGCTATCTGGAAATTATATCAAAGAAAGTGGTGGCTCTCGCCTGATGACCCTTTAACGCTGACCCCTTTAAACGATCGAGGACGATCGCGAGCAAACAGCAAACCCGAAACTGTCAAATTCGGCGCGATATCGCCGACGTGAAACTCTGAGGAAAATTGTAATCGCTCGTCTGCGCGGCTCTTAACTCAAGCGAACAGAGCGTGACGAAGGTTGAACAAGGCGCGTTGCAACTAAACGATCGCGATCGTGACGAAGAAACGAGTGGTGCGCGAAGAAAATTAAAAAGAAAAAGGAAAAAAAAGCGACTCTAACGTGTATTTACCTTGGTAAGAGAGAGAATTATGGAACGGAGGACGTGAAATAACGGCTAAGCTCGCGGGCGAGTTACTATCACATGATATTGTAAACGATGAATTGTATAGTTATTATGTGTGTAAGAGTACCGTGAAATAAATTCGAGCACGTAGCAGAGGCACGATCTGTATGCCCGATGTTCGCGCGTTGTTCGATCATGACGATCGAACGAAGAAATTGGGAATGATGCCTGGCGACGATGTTCCGCGCGTCGGAGTGAAAAGGTACATACGATTGAAATCGATGTGTTCTTCCAAGTAACAATTTCGCGAGCGTCTTGTGCTTTCTCATCTTTCTCCGTTTGGAAATTTTAATTTAGATGAATTTAAACTTGTTGGATGAATTGAAGAACAAGAATTGTCGAGTTTAACGAAGATTCGTTTAACGAACGAGAGGTGCAAGTGTAGCCCGTGAGAAGATTGAATATTCACATATGCTTGTTCCCTCATTCCCTTCGCAAATAAGACATGTTAAATTCTATCAATGATGGGAATGAATATCAGAATTAAAATTAATAAACCTTTGTTTATAAGATCAACACTGAGACCAGAGCTATTGGATTTGAAGCATAAAATTTCAATTTTGAATAGAGCAGCTTTGTGATACGATAAATTACACAAGCTTTTATTTAGGCAATTTTACGAGAAATCATTTAAATTTTTAAAAGTTTCACGTATATAAAATTTCTAACAGAAATTATTTTCAACACTTTGGTAGTTCCAGTGTTAAAGAAACTCCGGCAATGAATGTTCCGAATGAAGTTTCATTCGCTATTCAATAATAAAGTGAAGTCGATTCGAATCACGTGAACATTTCTCACTCACGAATATTGAAAATAACGTTAATCTAAAAAAAAAAAAAAAAAAAAATAAACTCGTCGTATAAAATTTCAACATTAATGTTCTATTTTCGCATTCGACAGAATCCAGAAACAGAACTTGCACCTCTGTATTCGAAAGATAAACGACGTCCTTATATAAAAAATTCCGGAATTCTCTGTAATTTTCACCCGACTGCGTGGAAACAACGATCACGGCGACCACGTTCGATCGACCGAGGACGTTCGACGTCTTCTCTCTCTCTCTCTCTCTCTCTCTTTCTCTCTCTTTCTGCAAACCGATAGACGACAGAAACGTCGAGGAGAATCGAGGGCTGTGCCATACAGATCGTCACGGTTAACCGTATCGAACGCCATCGTCGAACAATGGCTGCGAACCAGGTGCCCGGGATACCGCACGGTATCCGCCATTCCAATTTGATTCTAAGGTGTCGTACTAATATATTACAGAGATTTAATTCTAAGTTAAGCGGCGGTCATACACTGGCCACGTTGCGGCCGACCGGCCGGTTAGTCTCTTTTGTAAATGAGAATAAGTGAATGAAATAAATATACGTGACCGCGTAAGTGAAAAACAGGAGCCTCACGTTTCCTCAGCACGAGATGTATATTTTCCTTTCCACAGGCAGACACACAGGATGTTTACATATGTTCCGAGATGATTTCGTCGTATTGTTTGCTACAATTGGCTGTAATTTTTAATCTTTTGCACATTAAACTAATATTACAAGTAGAATCTGACGACAAAACTTTCCGATCGATTTAACAACAATTTAACGTAGTAACATCTTATCTAATTGGTTTCAGATATTTCAAACCGTGAACTTCAACTGCCCAATGTTTTAACATTAGAATTATCGGTACGATTAAAGTCTAAAATTTTTAATGAAAACATCTCTAAGCAGAGAAAAGAAGAAAAGAAAAAAAAAGCTTTCGTTCGTATATTTTATGAGAAATCATTCAAATATTTAAAAATATACCATGAAATTTTCAACAACAAAAATTATAAATCAGTCACTTTGACCATTGTGGTCTAGCTACGTTTCGTCGGGAAAAAATTTCGGACTGATGACAAAGTACATTTAAATTGGAATAATCACACGTACGTATTCAGTTATAAATTATTCAATTACAAATTGAGCAAGTGAAATAAATGAAGTAAAAGACAGATTTTACGCTTAACCAGCCGCGGTGGTGGCTTTTCGAATGTTTAAATGTATCCCCCCTAAAGCTGTCGTGGTGAGTGCTTTAGGATCCAGGACCATTGGAATTCTTGTTTTCTCGCAAGGTGAGAATTCATAGTCCTTCAATATCTGAATGAGTCCCAGTTTCGACTGCATGAGTCCGAGTCGCATGCCTGAAACAAGAAACGAAACAGAGGGAGATTATCGTAAGTGTAATGAAATTTTAATGCTCTTGGTCGCTCGGGTGAAAATCTTCAAGTGAAAATTCATAAACGTTACGACACATTCCATATTGTATTCCAAAAATTGCACATTCACGTTCTGCATATTGTGGCATGTGATGGTCAGTTCACGATTTTTAAATGTTCGTGAGTCAGAGATAATTGAGAAGTGGAAAAATGTTGCTCCCTTGACACAAAACTTCGTGCGTAATGGTGTATACACTTTTGAAATATTCAATTGGATACAATTTCATATCACGATGCCAGAACTGAAAGTTTTACCTTTAACGATACGTTTAGGTTACATAAGGTAAATGTTAATAGTCTACTATTATTTTCTGACACGACACATAGAGTATCCGTGAAACTCTTCGCTATCTGTTTCCATACAATTTTCGCTCGAGCCACTAATGTTATAACATATCAAACAGATTAACTAATAAACTAGAGAGATATTTATTAATCTATTAATTGTTAAACATTGTTTAGAACTCTTGTTTCGTAACTGATAGCGATACGAGCAAACTTTGCTATTTAGAAAAATTCTTTTAAACGAAACGAAAACTCTTTTTCTCTATAGACTAGCGTAGACTATCGATACGACTACATAAGGTAAATGTTGATAATCTACTATTACTTTCTGACATGATACATAGAATATCCGTGAAACTCCTCGCTATCTGGTTCCGTAGAATTTTCGCACGAGCCACTAATATTATAACATATCAAACAGATTAACTAATAAACTAGAGAGATATTTATTGATCTATTAATTTTTGCCAGCGTTGCTTAGAACTTCATCTTGTTTCGTAACTGATAGCGATACGAGCAAACTTTGCTATTTAGAAAAATTCTTTTAAACGAAACGAAAACTCTTTTTCTCTATAGACTAGCGTAGACTATCGATACGACTACATAAGGTAAATGTTGATAATCTACTATTACTTTCTGACACGATACATAGAATATCCGTGAAACTCCTCGCTATCTGGTTCCGTAGAATTTTCGCACGAGCCACTAATATTATAACATATCAAACAGATTAACTAGTAAACTAGAGAGATATTTATTGATCTATTAATTTTTGCCAGCGTTGCTTAGAACTTCATCTTGTTTCGTAACTGATAGCGATACGAGCAAACTTTGCTATTTAGAAAATTTCTTTTAAACGAAACGAAAACTCTTTTTCTCTGTGGACTAGCGTACACTATCGTCAGAATTTAGGGTGCGTTTCACATTCTTTCATATCGTCCTTAATCGGATTCGAAATTTTTCTACAAAGTCGAGTTTATGGACAGTAAAGTAGATAGTAAATTTGACTGACCTATGCAGACGCGAGGCCCGTCGCCAAATGGTAAATAGACGTAACTCGGCCTAGAGTTCTTTGCCTCTTCCGTGAATCTGAGCGGGTCGAATTTCTCCGGATTTGGGAAGTACTCCGGATTGTAGTGGCTGCCTATTACGGAAATGAACACGGGAGTACCCTTCTCTATCACCAGATCGGAATTGGGAACTTTATAATCGGCGAGGCACACTCGATCCACGAAACCCAGTGGTGGAAATTTGCGAAGAGTCTCTGAAACTACCATGTCGAGGTACGGTAGCGACATAACCTGCGGAAATTCATTTGACATTAGTCACGTTGAAACGACAATGTCGTTTGTTTTTACTGATAAATGACATTGAAGCAAGAACTTTGCATCGAATGCCACGCATTTGTGAATTATTATTTTTGAACGCTTTCGTACCATGTCGTACGTAATTTTGCCATCGGTTTTCGCGAGAGCATCGTGGATCTCTGCCCTGAGAGTATTTTGTACAGCTGGGTTCAAAGCTAGCTCGTACAATGTGAAAGACATGGTAGTGGAAGACGTCTCGAAACCACCGGTAAAGAATATGGCCGCTTGTGACACTAAATCATCGCCGTTGAACTCTGAAAGCCAAAGTGAATGAACGTTAGTTTGTTCGTAAATCCTATTCTTCACTATCACTAAAACGTAGCTCGAAAATATATGGGCCACCAATTACGAGTGTTCGAAAATTTAGAAAATCAATATATTCCACAATTTCCGAAATTGCCGGATTTGAACAAAACTTTACGTATATGGTTTTAGAGTGATTCGAAACGTGAACAACTTCAAGAGTGTGAAAACTGCCCTTAAACGAATACTTCTATTTTTGAGGCTTCCACGATTCTTAAATTAAGAAAAACAAAGAAAAATAAATAGTTTCAAATAAATAGTTCGATGGTAAAAGAAGTACTAGAAGTACTGTAAAATTTTGTTGATAAAATTTTAATAAATACATTTCCTATTGAAAAGAAAAGATACCTTCTATCTCTTTCTTTGCAAATTTTATGACTTTTTAGCAACTGAAAGTATGAAGTCTTTTCTAAAGTGCAAGTACCCGATTGAGCACGAGCAAAACGTATTGTTCATGTATCGGATTGCTCTGAAAGGGGACAAAGTTTCGAATCTTATTGGTAAAATATTCGAGCGAATACGTACTGAAGTCAGTCATAGTCTGGTCGTCCTTGTATTTCTCCTTCATCTCGATCAACACATCGATGAGATCGCCCCTCTTCTGTCCCGATTCGATTCGTTGATTAATCACGTCCCAGAAAACAGTTCGAAGGAACTGTGTCGGTTTCTTTCCGAAGAACTTGGGTTTAATATACTTGACCAAGTTAGGGAAGAAGAATATGATAGTGAAGTCTAAGCTACGAACGAAATCGTAGTCGAAAATCATCCTGCCGAATTCGCGGAACGCCGACTTTGGCTCCTGCAACGAATTCACTCTCACACCGAACGCAGTGTTACCGATCATGTCGGTAGTGAAATTTGCGCATATATCTTTGACCTCTACTACTTTCCCATTGCCTGAAACAGATGAAATTAAATTTATAATAAATTTAAATTTGAATTAAAGAATTCGAATAAAATCGTAGTTATACAACAAAACAGCCTGGATAAAAGTCTCAATTACAAATTAAAGGTACTTGATAAATGTCTCAATTGCAAATTAAAGGTACTTGATACAATTTTTATACTCGAGTTAAAAAGCAGATGGTAATGTACTTTTTGATACATTGATCGTTAAAAATTGATTCGTTCTATCTTACGTAAGTGTTACGTCATTTCTCTCGTAAATCTCGTAAATTTTCGATGATTCGCACATTTAATCGTATACAGTGATTATTTTTAATATTATAGTAGACATCAGTTTTCCCCAAGAGGAGAAATTAGAGAAATTTTAAATCTCAGTTGCTTCTGACGAGAAAAATGAAGTAACTCTGCCGTGTTGAATGAAAAGGGCAACTTAAATCAAGCAAACCTCAACTGAAGGTGCAACAGTTTATATTTTGAAATCGATACCTGACGATAAATAAAATCGAAAGTCATTTCTTTAAAGTAGTCGTCTTTTGACCAGACACACACCTATTTAAGTTGACATGGCAGAATTGTTTTAAACGTAGCTGGTCAATCCAAAATCACTAGAAACACTACTTACTTCCCAAGTGCATCGAGTCGAGATACTTTCCAAGATCGTCCGCGTTCGTCAACATCAAATCGAACATTTTCTTCAGCTTGCCGGAGGTGAAGATCGGCGTCAGCTTCGCTCGGAGAGGCTTCCAGCTGGGATTCTTTATCATGAACAGGTTCGCGTAGCCAAGACGATCGTCGACCTTGTCAGCGGTCGCGTGTCTATCGGCGAAGTAGTTGAAGTCTTTCACCATGATGTGCTTCAGCAGTTCTAGATCGCGGACCAGAAAGTATGGCTTGTCGAAGATGTAGAATCCCATTCCGAGAAGTCCTTTGGCCTTGTCGTACATCTCTTTCACAAACTCCGAATTTGTTTTCCTTAGGAAAATGCAGTCCGCGAAATTGCCAACGAAAGGTCTAGGTGGGTCCTCCTTGATGCCTCGCTTCGACCAGTATTTGAATTTCCGTGTCACGTACATATAGGCGCCAATCATCAAGGACGAAAGGACGAGGAGACCGTCCAGCCCCCAGTACGGCGTTAGCAGGGCCATTTTCGATGTAATAATCGAGTCTGAAACGAATCTGAAGAAAAAAAAAAGTACGTTCTTGTTTGTCTGAGAAAATCACAGACGAATTTTCATGTAATTTCATATTTTTAGGAGTAATTTAGGAAATAGGAAAAATTGTTTTACGTACTGAATGTCACGGTATATTTTTTTACGCGCATTCTTGGCAATTTTCTATAAATACGTGAAAATTCACAGACCATTTTAATGAATAGTTATATAAAAGTACAAAAATACGTGTGAAAAGTGAAATATTTGTCACAATTGGAGACTGCGGATTTTTATGTATTTGTGCGAAACTAGAAGATGCGTGCGAAATACAAGATTATATAAACTACAACATATTTAAATAAATAAATAAATAATTACTATTATTATAATTATGTTTATAATTTATGTATAATTAATTATATTAATAATTTTAAAATGTAATGCGTAAAATGGCACTAATTTAAATTAAATTTTAATCCGAAACAGCTAATAATAAAAACTTGAAATGCAGAAATAGCAAAAATAGAAAATTGAAAGATGCATTAAGATATCACGGTCTGATTGTAATATTCTCTTTAAATTTCACTTTCTTTTTCCTTTGATTGCGCCCATAAAAAACGCAAAATGGGAATTCAAATATCGAGAAAAGTGGTGTGAAAGATACACTACGTACCACTGTGGAACTTCAATTGTCACTACAAGACAGCGGACATGAAATTTTCATTTCCATGCAAGATATTTCCCGAGCTACGTTAAAAGTGAGTTTGGTATCGTTAGTTCCGGAGATATATATGCAACACATCTGGAATGCTCCCCTCTTTAAAAGAATGTACTGCATGCGCCACTATTATGTCATTACTCGGTGACAGAGCATAATTAGCAAAGATACGATCCTATTAAAATATGTCTCGTGAATACAATATGGAAATTATACACAAGATTCCTCGACAGTTTTCACTTTATGAACGATCAAATGACTACTGACAAAGTGTAGGCTGAGCAACGTTGTGTACTTTGGTACAGAGAAATATCTTTACGGAAGATAAAACGAACATTGTTTTAATAATAAAAAATATCGAATATCAATGCTTGGTCAAAGTTCATAATCGCTGAAAATACAATAGTAATTCAAACGGAATTGATAACCTCTTTAATTTTCTACGAATTATGGAGGAAAATTTTGTGATAAAATGTCCAAGGCTGCGTTGCTTGGCGTGATATAAATTGACAGCAGCTTAAAAAATTTCAAATCCGCTTTTATCGAGTAAATGCTCAATTTACATTGTTTTTCACTTTGTAAATTTTAAAAAAGTTCTCCTTGAGGCTTGTGCCATTATCAACGCCAGCTAGCGATAACCTTCTTCGTTAAAATCACGATATTAAATTAATTAAATTAATATTTTCGATTAAATTTATATTTTTGTGATTTGAATTTCTGGCATCTTAGACATTTTTGTTATGATATTGGGACACTATTATTAAACCTCATAAAACAGGAATAAATTTAAAAAAATTTGTTTTTCACGTCACGTAACGTGCGAATCAGTATGTAAGCTAAAAGCTGTTTGAAAATTTACGTAAATGCTATCATTAACATATCATTATCATTTTCAAAATATTTAAATTTCATTCACTAATGGACGTTCAATTTCATCAAAATCATACAATTACCTGTTACATACATTTGAATAATGACCAGTTCTACTTCTTATACTCGATGTTGCGAAAAGAAAAATCGAATCGTCATGTGTATCTTATGTAATGTTTAAGAAGAAACATAATGTAGCTTATTAAACAGTGTTTACTGCAATTGTTTACTGCAAGAGCAACGATATTTATATTTATATTTATATTTCTTTAAAACTAAGTAATTATCGATTTTAATCTCTAATTATTTGTTTTACTTCAATTTTTTTAATTAACTGAGAAAAGTATGAGTCTTTAGGTTTAGTTTAGACTGTCTCCGACTGTAGAGACAATTTTGTTATTATTCTAATTATAATTTTAATTATAATTCTTCATTTACATAATCGAGAAAAAAATTATAGATAATAATGCATCATTTGATAACGTTTGACATTTGCAATTAGATATTCACGAAACATCATCTGCCGCTTCATATTATGCAACTCAACTATGTTTTAAAACAAATTTTCTGTGTGTATTATATTTGAATCGTAATTCTCTATGATCATTCATATTAATTAACTTTATGCATCGTCAGAGTAACGAAGTTTCTCTCTGACAATATTTTGTAAATAACGATTTCGTAACGAGAATGAAACATGCTTGCAACATAACCACGTCATCGTGTGAGAAAATATGTTATTGTTACTAATGGAAAATTCTATTTCGATATAGCTTTTCTGTAGGCTGTTATTAGCGTAAATAAAATCGACGTCACTGGTCTCGAAAGTGCGGAAGCAGTTCTCTCGCTTAATTCTCCGGCAACCTGTTAAACGTTTAACTTTCAAATTGCTCGAGATTTCCAGCGTTTCTACGATCGAGTGTAGTAATTTGAAAGTTGAGCATTTTATCCAAGAAAGGGAACATAAACACCAACTTCTTAATTAACTCGCCTTTGATTACGGAGCTTCGTTATTGCCAAAGACTCTGAACGCTTCTGTCCAACCACGAAAAACGTAAATGAAACAGAAACAAAACCTGGTTAATTGCATTATACTTCATAAAACGAAAGATTACGCGCGTCGTTCGTTCTAGCGAAAAAACAACAAAAAAAAAAAAAAGAAAAACAACGTCAAATATCTCTGGCAACAAAATTTTCTACTCCGCTTTGCTTCAAGTCCGAGGAATCTGTAAATTATCAAAATTTGTAATCTCCGTAGCTGAAAGTAGCGACACGGAAATCCATCGTTGCAACGACACAGAGTGTCAAAAATCAGAACTTCGAAATCAGAATTTCGAAAAGAAATCGTTTTCGAAATTTTGGAACACAGTTGCATAGTGTTAAAACCAGAAAATCGTACAGAATCCTGGCAGTGTTTCCGGAATGGGGAGCACGAGAAGGAGAAAATGAGAAGAGAAAAAAAGAACGCCCAAAGAGTTGACACGCACACGGTAGAAAATAATTACGCGGCGCATGGGCGGCTCTCGTTCGTCGAACCAGCTTTCCATCCTCCGTCTTCGTTCGTCTCACAATTTCGCGGACAAAACAGCGTGTATCGTTTGCCGGCCGTGACTCGTCGTGACTCGGAAATTACGGTTCGTGATACGTTTGGAAATCGAGATGTACACGCGTGCAACAATCATTGTACGACACGCTCGCGATTTCTGTTGACCGGCAAACCGTTCATTACGCGATCTTGTGTGCATGTGTGTGGCGTGGCGTGCCGCGTGCAGGGAAAATCTTAGCACGCATGGTTCGAGTAAAAACCAGGGTGTCCGTAACGTGGGTTTCAACGTGGTGGTGCGACGTGGGAAAACGACCTCGCGCAGGAACATAGTTGAAACAATGTTTCGAGCACGAGCGCGACGAGGGCCGAGCGAACAGACGATGACGAGGAGATGACAGCTGAAATTGCTGCGAATTGACGGTACGTGGAAGCGAACGAGACCGCTCTCGGGCAATTTCCTTTCTGATCGATTTAAGATCCGTCTGTTTTACAGTGTTGTTAACTGAAACTGCGACCAACCACGCTGGCTCATTAACGACCGTGCAGCGAAATAACATGGCTGAGGTTGCATACACGCTCGCGGCTTTGCGAAAAAGAAGGTATGCAGGTAAATCGTACAGGGAAGTAACTTCTTCCGGGAAGTTTCTGCGCGCATTAAATGAAAAATTGTGTCGACTCGACATCGCATCTTGCAACTCGGTGAAAATGAATCGCGCGGCAAGTTTCAGGCGATTGTCGTAGACGGGAGAATTCGACTTTCGAAGACCATGATGAACATATTTTTCATCGTCCACGCAGGACGTTTGTATTTGGAGCATTTTCGAGAGTAAATTTTTGTAAAGACACCGAGAGAAAAACTGAAAAAAAGAAATTGGAAAAGAAACTGAGTATATATGAAGGTAAAGACTTTACTTAAAGTGCTTCAAAATGAGTTCAGTTGGATTTCTTCTTAGATTTCTTCTGAGAAAGTTATAGCAGTTTCAAGTGTCGATAAGCTTTTATCGAGTGTACGGAAATTATTCGAGATGACGTTGCACTGCAAGTTAAAAATGTGAAAATAAAACATGACATTTTATCATCAACAATATAACAGGAGACAAAACACAACGAGATAAAGTATATCATACAAGTAAAAACATATTATCAAAACAGTATAACAAGAGATAAAATAATTCAAGGTAAAGAGTGTAATAACAAGTATTCTACTACCCGAATTAGAAACACGAAGGAAGAATTTTATAACTTGGGGACACATAAAGCTAAAAATATTTCGATTCCCTTAAATTTCCTTAAATTCTAGACTGAAGAAAATATGTATTAAACCTGTGCTAAAAATGTTATTAACACTAGAACAACTAAACCCAGACGTGACGTCAATTTGGCGGATTTCAGATTTTCTTTTTTCACAAATGTTTAAAAGATAATTTTTAATAAAATTTATATTGTAAAATTAATCTGTTTAGGCAACATCGTTGTTTTGAGTTCTCCTTTACTAAACAACAATGTTTTCGTGATAATGAGGTTGAAAACTGCGACAATAAAAATTTACAATTTAAATTCAGACTTTAAATTATTTTTAATAAATCACAGATTAAATTATCGGTATGTATATGTGTGTGCGCACGCGAGGAGAATATATTTGATAAATATTTAAGCTAAATATTCGAAAACTAAGTCTCGAGTGAAAAAATTTTATTCTACATTCTCGACTCACTTTCTGAATCATCCGTACAATATAGAGGTACAAATACAAAAATTTTTTCTTCGATGCATGTTTTCAAACTCACGCTTTAAATTGCAAGATGTAGCAGAACTGTCGACTTTTCCCTCGAGATCCGTACTTCGACTACGTAGAACTGGATATCACGTCTCTCCTGTTTCCTTATATATGTGTTTATCATCGCATGTTTTTTTCTTCTAACTCAATAGTTCCCTTTTCTTCAATTGAAAAAATAATCGTAGTTAATCGCTAGATAATCTCTAGTTTATCCATTATTCATCGATAATTGTAACGTACAATTTTCTAAGAATAATGAGAAGAAATGTCGCAGTATTTTGTTTTTCCCGCTTATGACGCGGATAAATGCAAATGTATGAGAAACAAGAAATATTACCTATATAAAATTTAATACAAGGTCACTCATAATTCGAATTCTATTTCTTCTATTTCTTCTAGACTTCCACTTTATTTCCAAGAATATTACACATTCGTGCGCACTGAATCTTCGTATTCTGTATTTCCATTGGAAAATTCTTTTAAATGTTTTCCTTTAATGTTTATTAGATCAAAGCTCAGAAGCATCGCGTAGGTCAAGACGGTCGCTGACCTACGAGCTTCTTATGTTTACTAGAAACGGTTGACATCAATCGTTTTATCTTTACCCTAATTCCATCGTCTTTAGTTTTCTGACCTACTGCGAAGTAGCAATTAAATGGCTCGTCCTTCGAATCTAATTGGCTAAATCGTCCTTCGAATCTAATTGGCTAAGACTAGCAAAACGTTCTAACAACACAGGCTCACGCGGAAACGTTACAATTTTCAGTGAAGAATCTTCGTAGTTGAAATTTTGCATTTGGGATCTTCTTTCTTACATTCGTGCCTCCAAATTCCATTTCGATCGACGAAGCGGGCCATTCGAAAGTATCTTAAAATCTTCAACGTTTATCATTCGACCAATTATCATCGCCGATGTATCTCGTTCGACCTTTACGCGTGTCATTGCATTTTGCTCGGTCGTTTTTCGTTCTCTGGCGAGCGTGTTCACGCGACTTGTTCGAAGCAGAAAACGGCATGCTTACACGCGAGTCATTGGCGAACGCTCGAGGCCCTGCAACTCTCTTCGGTATAATGAGCCGCACGAGTGTGTTACATTGTACGTGAATATGTACAACTACGTGCAGGCATTTCTCGCTAAAGGAAACTGTCGTGTTGCCTCGCGAGATCGCGGACGATCGTTCGTCCAATTTTCTAAATATCGTTGTCCGACAACAATAAGTCTGTATAAGTAAACGATAATAATATTTTCTTCGGTTTGTCGATCGGATGCAAGTCTGTAACACGGAAGAGACAGAATCTTAAACCACCAATCTTAATCGTGAGTCGAGTAGACTTTTGGTGATTGCTGGAACTTCTTTTCTCTGCTATGTTGATGGAAAATTCGTTCTGCATCGATGCAGGAGAAGGAAGGAAACGTTAGGTATGAAAATCAAGTCGGTAAGGGGACGTGGTTTGCAGTAGGTAAGGTTCCGTCGACTTCGTTTTCTGTTCTTTCAGGTTGGAAGGTTCTCTTGGCTCTCGGTAGGTGGCGGAAAAGAAGAGTCCAAGTTGCTGTTTGTTAAGGCAGCCACGATTTTCATTTACTGCGATGAATTAATTAATTTCAATTCAGTGTAAATTTCAAAGAATCAATATTAAAGAACTGTTAGGTAATTATTGATTTGGTACTAGTTGATTTGGTTACAAATGTAGAAGAAATTTGTAGATATTTGTTACGAATGAGAAAGAGGAAGAGAAGAAAAGAAGAAAGAATTGAGATTTTTTTTAATTTTCTGATAATTTTCGTATTTATGTTATCTTGTTATAATGAGAAATTCAACAGAATTTCTATTAATAGAAATGATTTCAAATTTGGAAGCAACGAAACGTCGTAGTTACAAAAAAAAAAAAAAAAAAGAGATCATTGCGATGATTTATTCAATCTAAACATTTTTATTAATGTTTCTCGAACGAGAAAAATAAATTTATAAATTTACAGTAGATACATTATCTATTGTATAAGCAAACGATACATTATATATGAATGAAAGAAATATCTCTCTTTTAGGTAGAAAAATGAACGTCTCTGACTCAACTACAAAATTTAACGTAAATTAATATAATTTATTTAATAGAATATTCGTAATCATTTCTTAAATATTTCTGAAACAATTTTTCTAAGTGATACAAGTGATTAGTGATATCACATGCAATGTCTTTGCATCACGAATAATATTTGTTACTTCGTACATGCTGCTCGTCCTTGAACGACCATTTTCTTAAGTTTCCTTTCGCAACTCGCCCTCGGTCACAGCCGAAAATCTACACGGTAATCTCTTCTCCCGTTCCGCGATAAAGAAAACGAAAAACAGGAGATAATTTTCACGCTATCGCAAATAATTCTCCGAAGAGAGCCGATGTTTCAAAACGGCGAGGGTTTCGATAAACGTGAGAATTTCGATAAGAAAACTAAAAATCAACAGCCGGCAACGCGGAATGAAACATTTCGAGAAAGTTACGCAAACAATCTCCCAGATATACGTGAAATCGTTTCTCTTCCTCGGTGATTGTCGGGGCGAAACCGTTTTTCCCCTGCCCCCACTCCTGTTACGGACTCGGATCGGACTTTTTCTCTGCGAAGCGGGCCTAAAGGAAGGATTACACGGTATCGCGGGCCGGTCGTCTCATGAATTAGGCATCGGACAAGTTAATGAAAGTTTTCCCGGGCCATTACGCCTAATAATAGAGCAGACGGCCGCTGTGCTCTCCGGGGCGGAGGAATGGAAGCGCCGAAACGGCGCGCGCTTCTATCCGCAGCGGCGCGCACCGCGATCGACAGAGACGGGGCGAAATAAAATTGCCAACTTAAATAACTCGCGGTTGATTATAATTTTCGACTGGTCAGAGCCCCGGCCGGAGCACAAATACTTTACTACGACCCCGTACTCGGCATACGGAATAAGGTGATACACGTAAATTATAGTTATTTCGCGTCTGGCGCTATTACGCGCGCGTGTAATAGGCGCGACCGATGTGTGTAATTATTATGGTAAACTTTCCCGCTGGCGATCGCGTCCGTCGCGCCTCTCAGCCTTTCTCGTTCTATCAGACACATGTAGACACACTACCGTTCGGAAATATTTCGGGACGCCTTGCGCAATCCCGTCGAGAGCAATTCGTATTCAATTGTCAAAATGTTTCCTGTGGAGCGAATTTTATTAATTAAAAATTAATTTACACGTTCTAAATTGTTACAATTGATTTTGGCCTCGTTTCATTTTGAAGTGTGAAGCCTCCACTTTGACAGCGCTTACGGAAAGCAAGGAAAATTGTAAAAATTCAAATGCCACTGAAAACGTTAAAGAATGTTTTTCTCACTTCTCACCGTGAGAAAATTGAAAATTAAAGTCTCTTCTTACCTTCAATGACCTCTTAAAACTTGCTGCACGAATTTTTCTTGTCATTTCATCGGACTTATCGAACATTGGGGTTAGAAATTTTGTCGTTCAACTCTAATATGTTCAAAATTCAATAAAACGACTGTGGAGGAAGAAATCATACGGCAAGCCCCATGGAAAGACTTTGATCTTCGAGACTACGATGGATCTAGTCATAAGAAAAATTTTTCCAATGATTTTGGAGGCGCTTAAATTTTTAGTTTTCGACAACGAAAGAGAAAATACTCTTGCTTTTTCATTTGCTGCATAACGATGTGAAAACATCTGTAGGAAAAAAAAAAAAGAATAGATTTTACGCTTTGAAACGAATCCAGCCAACTGGACTGACGTACGATTTTGTTTCACGAGGTTTAAACAGTCGAAAAGGTCGATAACTTTTCATCGAGTTTTTTTTTTTTTATCTCTGTAGTTGCATACAGTCGCTCCTTAAAATTTTTCTAGCACTGTCAACATTTCAACGCTTGTCAAACATTTCAAGCGTCCGAAAACTCTCACGAGCCTCCGTAAACACCTCGTTTGTCTGCGATAAATGACTGACGCTTCATAAACTTTTCTAATTCAACAATGAACACGCTTTTCGAATACACATATTTAACACGTTGAACGCTACATGACTATAGTCTGAAATACATCGCACTGTGACGTTTAATCTTTCGCGTTGTTAACAACTTCTCAGTGTATACCAGTGTAATTTATTTCATTCCAATTCAATATTAGTGTTTTAATTTTTAATTTTAATCTTTCGAGTTTTGAATTGCTCGATACTAGAAAGTACGAATCGATCCGCAGGATCTTCCTTTCATATCAATACTACTAATTAATACTAACTGTGTCCGAGACGCGATCAAGAATTTCATCTCAAGTATTCGCTGCGTGGAAGATGTTGCGGACGATAGTGTATGCGCGACTGATATCGCAACTCCTCCTTCGATCCTCTGCTCCTTCGCTCCCCGATTTACATGATTCCGACATAAATAACTATCAGTGTAGAAACGACGGTGTAATTTTGCACCGGTGAACACGTATACTTGGACGAGCAGACGATTGTTTCGCAAATTCGTGCGACCCCGCGTGTGATCGGAATTGATGGCCCCGCTCGTTCGTGAAATTGTTTCCGCTCAGCCCCCTGGCACATCGTGCGGCAACAACACGAAACGACACGCGTGTCGCGCCGATGTGTCGTTGGAAAAATGGATCCGCGAGCGAGAAAGTGATTGATCGTTTGTCGACGACCGGGAAATTATATATACCGGGTTAGTCGGAACTGTTACACACTGGGCTGGAAATTTGGTTAAATTTCGTTGCCGAGCAAGTTCCAAGTTGTTTTAATTTTGCACCTATTGAATTGTCCACACTGTTGTTTTCCAACGTTTCTCTACCGAGATGTGTGTATGTTTGATCGATTGAATTTGAATCGTCGGATCATGGCAGTAAATCTTTTATACAACGTGAATTTAATTTAATTTCTCTGTTTCTTATAATCTGTACATTGTCCATGAACAACCAAAAAATGTCTCGTCTCGTTGTGAATAAGTTCGGGACCAACTCTTAAATTTGTATCAAAGTTTAACGTGGATTAGCACGGCGTGCGCGTTACGCGTGATGTTTAATGCATAGCAATTCGTCGTGTGCGTCGAGGGCCTACAAAATTGAGTCGGAATTCGGATCGATACTCAGGAACCTCAGTTATCTTCTATCCGGCCCCGACGATGGTCCGTTGTATCGAATTCGTTTGATCAGTCGCAATCAAAATCTCATCGAGCAATTTTCATAAGCTAAGAGAAGCAGAAAAATTTACTTCCAAATGGGTTCGTTTGCAACAACGAACGAAAAAGAAAATTCTTTTCTCTAATTTCAAACTTGGTTGCGAAACAACCAAATACGCTGTAAACGTCTCGTTCTTTTTTTTTTTTTTTTTTTTTTTTTTCTTTCTTAAATTGCTGTCTAAATATTATTGCTAACATTGTAATTTCTAATCTCGTTGCAGGACGTTGTCGGTCGATTTTCTACCGAGAGCGAGGAACACCGTCGTGGAATTAAATTCGAGAGGAGATTCATTGGCTCGCGAGCGAAGGTGGTTCGTGACGTATCAGGCAGAGCCGCACGAAGTTTCCACGGCAACTGGATTTTCCTGGCAGACCGAGGACGGCCGCGCGGATTGGCCGGGCGATCTCGCAGGAAACGGTGCCGGGAAAGACGAAACCGGAAGCGGTGAGCTGCGAACGCGGAGCCCGCACGAAATTGCCGCTAGCTCGTTCGTCTGTACGAGCCAGACGAATGGAATTTCCGCTCGGGAGTTGGGCAGTTTGCTCGTTTTTCAAGGACGGGCCAAGGAAACGCCAAGATCTCGCGCTCTCTCCGAATCGCGAATCGCGCCCGATCGAAGAGAGCGTTTTAATAGGAATTCGGCGTTCAATTCGATTTCTTACTCGTTACGTTTTTCAGCCAATTCAGGCAGATTGCGAAGCGAAATAAAACGCGAGGTCTTTTTCAAGGAAAAAGCGCGCAAACGCCGGAAGAGCAAGAGCTTCTCCAGCCTTCTTTGAAACTTTGTCAATCTTCGGTGGTATTAATAACTCTTGCGCTAGTAACTGGTTCGCGGACCATAACGAGTGACCAAGCCGTATACGATAATTCGTTTTCTTTTCGAATTCATCGGTATATCGCTGGATAGAAATTACTAAGAAGTGATAAATTTATTATTCGTATTGCCTGGATAATATTTCGGCATACTTGAAACTGAGAAAATATTGCAATTTTGGACCAAATATTCTCGACTCGCGAAAGACCGAGAGGGAGTCTCAATTGATTCCTTTGCATCTGCGAGTCAAGTATTTATATTTCGTGGAAGCACGCTTCGATCAGCTTCCTAGCTGGCCTCGCCACGAATTTGAACATTTCACAAACATCTAAATATAGCAGATAACACACGCTGATAGACAGAAGCAGGTGTAACAACTATCAATCGATTTTAGATTTTAAGGGTGACCTTATACTCCCTTAATAGAAACCTATAGTTTTTCTTTGATACCATCCGACACTGACCTTTATCCTTTGGAAACACTAACAATAAGTGGCACGCGTCATCGTCGGTGACCCACGCTAGAAAACTCTCAGCCGCAAGAGACGAAAGACACGAAGGATTCTTCAAATTCCATCAGAATTAACCTCGGATAGAAGAAATATATATACCTAAGTCCTTCGATGATCCATCTCTCTCTCTAGAGTTTCTTTTATTTCAACCGGCAGAGTGTTCGGGCGGCAGAGTTTCGATCGATCTGTTTCTGAGGCGAGCGTAACGTCGGAATTGTAACGAAATTGAACAACGAGTAAAATATATCGATATATATATATATATATGTCCCGGGAGACCGTTGGGAAAGTGGACGACGAGGTCTAAGTCTGGAGAAATCGCGGCAGGCTGGCTGGCACGATTTAGTGCGCGTTTCTATTGCGCGCGCGAAAACGCACAACGGCCACGCAACGTGTACGCAATTTCTCTTTGTCCGAGTCCGAGGCCTGGCCCGTTGCCTTCTTCTTCCTCCCCCTCCACCGCTTCTTCTTCATCCTCTTCTCCTTCTCCGCCTCTTCTCGGTCAAATTCTTTCTATCGCTCGGTATCTCTCTTCAAACTTGTGTTGGTCATTGTAGCGAAGGGGTTCACCAGGTCCCTTCGTGTTCCCGGAGACCCCTTTCCAAGTCGAGGGTCCTCCGATGGATTTATGACAGAAAATACACGCGATAAAACGGCGCTGGAACACACTCGCAAAAATACGACCGTTCAGAAGTTATGCGGAAAATGAGGCCGGCTACCGGTCGCCGGTTTGAATTAAACGGCGTGTCACACGGCGTTTAAACAACTTCCATTCTTCTTCTTTTTCATTTTTTTCTTTTTGTTTTCAGTTGGAACAATTTGAATTTCTACAAAGAGGGTATTGATAAATAATTTTTAGGGAAGAAATAATTGGAGTTGCCGTGTGTCAGTGAAGTAACTTGGGACGAGCGAGGCATTGAACAATAATGGGAGAAAGAGAATCGATATTCGTAGGTTCTTTTATTTCATTTATCAACTTACGTTTCTACGGAGGGAGTATTTAAGGGAGTATTTATTGGAGAAAGAGAATCGATATTCGTAGGTTTTTTTAATTTAATTTATTAACTTGGGCAGTAAATGGGTGTAAATCGCAATTACTTTGTTTTAATGTCAGTTTTAAAACAATTTTTAAGGAAGAAATAGTTGGAATGGCGGGTCGCCAAAGTAACTTGGGACTTAAATAAAGGAATTAAATGATAATGGGAGAAATCGATATTTGTAAGTTTCTTTCGATTTAATTCGGTAATTTAAATCTCCGCGAAGAGAGATTTAAGATTATTAAGAAAATTCCTATTACAATATTAATTTTTTCTTCGACTAGCTTCGACAATTTTTAGCGAAGAAATAATTGAAATTGTATTACAGCAGCTTGACACGAGTCACTAAACGCTAATGGAAGAAAGATTATATAGGTTTTCAATTAATTCATCTTCTATCGATGAGTGTCTCTCAATCTTACTTGTCCCTTGTCGAAAATCTCACGAAAATCCACCGCATTTCCTACGAAACGAATGTTTCTTTCTCTCGAACAGGCCACGAACAAAAGTTCCAAGAGCGTCGTGAATCACCGGTCGCGCGAAAATTCGTCCCATGCAAATGGTCGAGTCGATTCGACGGGGCCCGCGCGTGGATCCTTTCCTTTTTCTTCGTTCGACCGTGCTTCTCCGCAGGTAAGGGTTGCGTAAAGACGGCCCGGTGAATTTATAACGTAAAATACACGCAATAAAATCGAGGCTACCGAGCGCCGGGAACACCAATACTCACGCAATAAAACAGACCCGCCGGCGTACTTCCGTCACCCGTTTCTGGAACCTCCTGCCTGCCTGCCTGCCTGCTTGCTTGTTCGTCCTTTAAACTTCAAACCATCGCCGCGATTTAAATATTATCTTGTAAAAGGGGATGGGTTTAATACATTTATAATTGTACACGGGAGTGTCAGGGCGGGGCCGGGTCATCGGTCGGACATCAGTGACCCTTCTGGATGACCTCCGCAAGGGTCATCGTCCACCGTCGTCTTGTAACCTTTTCTTTTTATTCTTCTTCTTCTTCTTCTGTTTCGAAGCAAGAAGGGGACCTCGATCACTTCACTTGGAAACTATCGAGTCGATCGAGCGAAATTTAGGGCACGGGCCTTACCGGTTTCTCGGTTTGCTGCCCCCTCCTTTTGCGTACGTCGGGCCGAGGGGCTGCTCCTTCGGGGTGGTCATCGGGAGAAACGTGTCAAACGGACCGACGTCGTGTCAGCGTCCTCGTGTTATCACGAGATTATTCTGGATGACCGACGAGCATTTCCTTTTCCTTTAGAAAAGATTTATTGCAACTTGGGTTATTTTTTTTTTTCTTTCGGAAGTTGGAGTAATTTCACCAGAATTGATATAATTTCGGCGTTGTACGAATTGTACAGAAAGGCTTCTTTTCAAGTGATTGAAACGAAGACGAACAAGAAACACTAACGCTAAGAACGTCGATCTTTAACTGGTTCCTTTAACCTTTCCAACATTTAAATCGAAGCAACTCGATGTATTTCGATCTGACGATCAGATCTCGCCTCTTGGAGTTCTTTCGCAACAGCGAACGTGACGAAACGCAAGAAGGTTCCCGTGGTACACACACACGGTGACACGGTTCGGCGAGAGCAGCAGAGAGAAAGAGAAAGATGACGACACGCAGAGTGACGGAACGTCACGAGAATATCATCCCTCGAAAACTCGACGGGAGTCGTCTCGAGTTTCACGAACACGAGATCTACGTCCGAACGCGTAGAACGGACATCGGGACGTGGGACGTTGCCGAACGAACGGACTAATTCACGGAAGCGTTTTAAAGCGGTTGCTCGAGATACGGCGGCGGAAAGTACGTACGTTACCTCCATGAGAAATGGTATTGGTGCCACGAGGCGTGCAAGCGAGCGAGCGAGCGAGCGAGCGCTACCCTCTCGGTTCTCGCGCTATCTTCGTGCCGGGCGTTCGCACACGTTGGAAGCAGTCCAAGCGTTTTAATTTCGGAAGACGTTGCAATATAACGGTTCCTAGCGAAATTGAAACGCAACCCCTACGTCGCCAACCCTCGCCGCTGGCCTTTCTCGTCCTCGGGCTTCTCGCTTCTCGCTACACGCCGCCGACCGACCCTTTCTAATTGTTTGGGAGGCCAACGACGCCACGCCGTCCGTGCCGCTGCCATGCCTCTCGCGTATCGCATACATTACGCATGAATTTCGCCTCTGTCCGTTCCTCCTTCCGCGGGACATCGGGGCCGTGTCAGACCCCGAGAAGTTATTAGCATCCCCTCTGCCAACACCCTGCGCTCCTCGTAACTACAGTCCACTCTCGCCATAGATAATTCTCCACTTTTACTTCGACCGATTCCCTCTGTAATTATCGGTCCTCTTCCTCCGCCTTCTCTCTCTCTCTCTCTCTCTCTCTCACTCTTCGGAAAATGTTGTTTCAAGGGGTGGAGAATCCTTGGCACTCGGGTTGAAAAGTGAAGCGAGGTCAGAGTTAAGGTGTTTCTCCATTTGAGAGTTACTCGCGAGAGTTACTCTCCATTCCTTTCTCTCTTCATTTTTTTTTTTTTTTTTTTCTCTCAAACAGTTGAGCGATGCTCTCGGACAGTAACTCTCAGAAGCAGTATCCATTTGCGAGTAATATTCTCGAGAGCAACTCGCGACAGTTTTACTCTACAAATGGAGAAATACCTTTACAGAGGATATGAAAGAAGATATTTTCCTCGAGTTGATGAATTTGTTGAAAATTTAGAAAAATTGTTAAAAGAAAATTACAAATTTTTGTAAATTTGTAAAAAATGAGTCATCAGTTCAATCTTGCTACCCAAGAAACAACAAGAATCAAACATTCAACGCGTAATTGATAGCACTTGATTGATTTGCTATAGAAAGAAACGTAAATTCAAATCAAATCCATCGCGATATCAAGAAAAATGGCTAGGCTCGCTCGTCGATCGGATGGCTCGTTTAATAAACAAGATCGAACGTACCAACTGAATAAAGCAACTGAAAAGTGGTTTCGAGGTTTCGGAAAGAAACGGCAGAAGAATGGGAGCCAAAAGGTTAGACGCTAATACGTGGATAACACGTTTTTAAGTTAGATTAAGGAAGGAGGGATGCGCGCGAGTCGCGTGTGTCCGCGCGCACGAAATTTCGGCTGGCGGTTCTTCCGGCTGGCCAGCGGGTGCAACATACACGGCTTATATTATTAGCGTGCTCCGTGTACCCCTGGCCAGTGCCATTACGCTCGTCCACCTTGGTCCCCGTGCATTGTTCTTCTAATTTATGCCAAGGTGGGTCTAGCCGCCGGTCTTCCATCTCTGTTCGCCTCCTCCTGCCTCCGTTTCCCCCCCGTCGTTTCCATTTCTACTTCACTCGTACGGTGCACCGTGAATTATGGAGTCCGCGCCACTAAATCTTCGGGGCTAATTGAATTATTGCTTGAATCTCGGCAATACGGCGCTCGGCGTTCGGCGACGAGAACGAGAGAAAGAGAAAGAGCAAGAGAAAGAAGCGATCCTTCCTATTTTTATGCCTTTTATTTTCCTTTCGTCCAATCTACTGGGAACGACCTTGTCCCTTTCCGTTTTCTTTTTTTTTTTTTTTCTTTTTTCTTTTTCTTCACTCGTACGTGCGCGATTCTCTTGTGCAAGCGCAACGTCGAATCGAGAAAGAGTCCGGAGAATTTCCTCCGTGATGGATGTGTATGTACGTATACACGGTGGGAACGAGAGGCAGAAATTTTTGATTAATTCGCGGATATACGCAGAGACCGATGATTCTTTTGTTCGGAGAGTGGTGGATACGTTCGCAATTGGAGGACAAACGAAGAGAACGATCATTGATGTTTCTTGCGAGAGTCAGACGGATTATTCAATTATTGATACCGACGTAGGTTGTTAGCCTTTTTTTCGAGAATCGTGGACTGGTTTTACGAGTCGAAGAGTTTTTATCTTTAAAATAAACTTCGAATCTTTTTACACCGCCGACGTGAGTGATAATTTTCAGCTGTTTCTTTTTTTTTTTGTTTTTCTACGATTTTGGTAATAATTTACAATCCGCTACGTCAGTCCACTGTTTCAACGTGAAACGCAATTGATTTATTTAACGATGAAAGATCAACAGCAGTAATATAAATCACGAACGGAATATTCCGAATTTTGTTGAAATCTCCAAACTAAAAGTGAAGTTCAATAAGAAACAGGTAATAGCCGAAGAAATATAAATGCTGGCGATCAATGGCGACGATTCACAAAATCACACGATTACCCGTGACTCTCTCTAAGAATTGGAATCTTCGAGATACACGGTCGTACGAACGAAACCGAAATACATACCACGGTAACAGTACGAAGCAACGGAACAGCGAATCAGAGTTGGATAATCATAATTAGGGAGGGAATAAGATTCTCTGTGAACGACGGCGGTCAAATTTTCGAAAATCACTGGAAAAGGCCGGCGTTCCACGAACGCGTGTGATTTACAAGCGGAGCCGGAGGATACGCATGAATAATGCGACGATGACACGCCGGTATTAATATGATAATTAGTTTTATTCGAGAGACACCCGCTCCCACGATTTCCACGCCGGCGATCGGCGGATTTCGGGCCTGGACGAGAAGATTGTCGGCACCTATTAAAAGGCGATAATAACGACAACCGGTAGGGGGAAAAAAAAAGGAAAGAAAAGAAACGACGAGAAAAAGAAGCGAGAGGAGAAGCACACGGACGAAACGAAAGAGGAAACTGGACGTGGAGATCAATTCTTGAAAATATTTATTCCCCCGCTGTCGTTCGCGAATCCGTACATTGTAATTACGACGTAGCAGCTCGAGTTGCCGGATCGACTCGTTGGAATCGTTGATTTGTCTTTCCGAGAATCCCGAAGGATCTTTCCTTTGAGAATCGACGAAACGTTCGCACGAATTATACTGGAAATAATTAATGCTGGAAATATAGTATAACTGTGATGGAGAAATTGTTGAATCACATCTATTTTTTTCTTTCTTTCTTTTTGATAAACCACGAATTATAAATGGTAGAATTGATCAAATTGTTAATGACTGTCCAATCTATGACAATTTAAAGGCTAGAGTTCAAAGTTTCTTTATTTTAAAATGTAAGACAGACATATGAAGAGATAAATGAAAAAATTTAATGGAAACTGTTGGATTACGTTAAGCAGTGTTTGATGAACCTCAAATCATGCGAATTATAAATCATAAATTTATCAAATTATTAATGACTGTTCAATCTACGACAATTTAAAGGTTAGAGTTCAAAATTTTCCTATTTTAAAATGTAAGACAGACATATGAAGAGATAAATGAAAAAATTTAATAGAAACTGTCCACGTAGCGATCAGTAGCGTCTGTGTTTCTCTCTTTGTTCGATGAGCCGCAAATTACGCCAACTATAAATAGCAGAATTTAACAAATTTTTAACGACTGTCCAATCTATGACAATTTACTCCAAATTCTAATTAAATGAACTATGAATTCTAAACGTGTGACAATTTAATCCAACCTACGACAATTTAAGTTGATGAGAGTTCAAAGAGTTTATTTGAAAATGAAAAGTATTTAGCCGCTTGTAGAATCTCGACACTTACGCGTATACCAAAGAAGTTAGAACGCATCGAAGGATCACACTTCCGACCACTTGCTCCCAGTAGGTCAGAATAATTAGGTCAGTCGTACAGCAACAGTTCGACCAATGGCGTTCGTTCGAAGCTCGAACGAAGAAGAAGAAGAAGCAGAAGAAGAAGAAAAAATTCGCCGGGGGAAAGATTCTCGTCCAGTGGAGAGAGAGAGACAGCGAGGAGGGAAACGAAAGTGTCGGGGCAAAGGAAGGGGAATGAGAGGGAATTGAATCAGAGTCGAATCCTCGAACGATCCAGCAGGACACTTCAGAGCACGGGGACAGTAGGAAGTTCGACATGACAATGGTTCCAGGCCGTTGGCCAGATTCATGCAGGCCCGTTGATACAGATTTGAATATTAATTTAGGGCCGTCCACGGGACGAGCGAGGATAATGTGGTTGGGTCAGCCGCAGGTCCGAAGGAAGGATCGCCTTCGGTATCCGTTGCATTCTGTTAAAGAGAGCCACCACCTTTTCTTGATTTCTACGTCAGATATTATGTAACGAGCGTTCTAACGGGCATTTAAACTCCTGCTCGTTCTCTAAGTGATCCGATCGTATCGAAAACGAGGAACGTTTTGTATCAACCCCCTGACGTGTAAAACTTCTTTCTTCGTTCAGTGGTAATTCGACGTTTCTTTTCTTCGGACATTGATTGCTAGACTGCAGATTTTTAACACGTTCGCGCACGTGAATGCTGTGGCTTT